CTATAATTTTTAATCAAAGTAAAATATGTTACATCTGGCAACACTACATTTTAAGTATGTTCAAAACAAAAGTTTAAATAAATGTGCACTAGGCAAAAGTCGAAAAACAAGATAACAGCGTCCATTTTGACAAATTCGGAAATTATACTTCATTTAAGTATTATAAATTAAAGCTGCAAGTTCTCCTAAATAAATCAGTAGCAGAAAAAATGGAATCAGCAATTAAAACCAAGAAGTGTTCCGTGAAACTCAATCGTATGTCATTTGTTGGTATTACTCCGCAAGAAGTTCAGGTAGATTGTGAAATGAAATTTCATTTTTTTTACGCACAGAGAGTGAAAATTAAATATACATTTACATTTGTGAGCGTCTGGCATAAAGTTTCCACATATTTTACATTACCAAGTTTTTCTGTGATCCATTCGTATGACTGGACAAATTCGCTCTGTTTATATAGCTGAAAATATTACTCAAACAATTTTTAAGTGTTTTTAATTCTCCCTATTTAGGAACAAATTTTGGATCAGCGAATACGCCGCTGTGCGGTGCGTATTCAACGCTGTTCTGACAATACGAACTTTAGCAAAATATCCGCAGATAGTTCCACCAATAAAGATACAAAAATGCGACGTTGCTGCATTCGTTTGCCAAGGATTAATTTAGTTCGCAGTGATATATCGTCTCGGTCTGGCTCCGTAACCAGTGCCAGAATTCTTTCTGAATCAGGTTAGTAAATATGAGTTATAAATGTAGAAGGTAAAATCTGATAATATACTCTAATTTCAGAGCTGGATGATCCGGAAATTGCTAACCATTAAAACTTTCAAACATACCAAATACATTCGCAAACGTATATTGACATTTATTATTGTTTCAATTCACCTAATATATTGACAATGTAATTCATTTTTATATGATGATTTAATATGGAAATATAATATTAAATATAGGCATACAACTTGTAAAATAATGATTTATTATATTGTAGTGTGTTTTTATTTTACTTTGTAACACTCTATAAACAATCTACGATTTGCTCGGAATATCAAAGAATTGTTTAAGGCAGTTATAACCAGAAAACGCGTATGTTGACGTATTTAAAGGAGCGACTTTTCGCCCATAGTTCTAGAAATACATTGATCAATTAATATATGTTTTTTAAATTTAAATAATGGTTTTGTTGCTAAAAGGTGGTTGTATCAGCTGTTTCGCCATTGCTCTCAAATTCATTGTTGCCGATGATATTTGACATTACGAAATCCTACCGTGGATAAATTTTAAGGAAATGGAAAACAATACCTAGATTTTTTCTTTCTAAATTATATTATTTTTCTATAAAACATTTAACAAAGATGTTGATTGTTCCAACACATTACTTATTTAATAATGATACGGCAACACTATTTTTCAAAGGCTAATCTTCTTCTTCGGTGTTTTACTTTGTTTTACATTTTTCGAGAAGTTGTTAAAGAAATTATCAGTGCTTTAATTCATTAAAAAAACCATAAAAACTGTAAAGGATAAAACATGAACTGGTACAAAGGTAACATTGCAGAGGCAGTGGCAGAATCAAAGGCCAAAAATGCAATTTTTGTTGTTTATGTCGAAGGTGAGTTAAAATATTTAGATCCATGGAAAAAGAAAACATCAGCTGTGATGGAACACGTCATTTCTGTAGTGATTAAAATACATATGTATGTAAATTCTATATTTTAATAATTCTGATCCCTTGTTTATAAAGGTAAAGATGAATCAACACAAAAACTTTCAAACTTTATTAATGCTCAGAAAATTCGAGAAAAATTGGAATCTGATGATTTTGTCGCCATTAAAATCGAAAGTGATAGCCAGGCGTACATGCAGTTTGCAACAATATGTAAGTGCAAACTTTGACACCTACGATTACATACTCTTATATATGTGGATATGTCTTTTAATTATTCCTTTGCAACTTTTTAGACCAAGTAGTTCCGGTGCCATCAATTTTCTTCATTGGCAAGACTGGTACTCCGCTCGAAATAGGCACTGGCATAATTGCTTCTATTGGTGAACTGGAAGAGAAAATTAATAAAGTACTTACATTATCCGGTCATAGCACACCCTCTACACAGTCATCGTCTACTTTCATTACGGCAGAGCAAAATGCCGCTGCTTCTAAGTTGACTACCCAAAAAGAGTCACCGGACGCACCTTCAGCTGACAATAAATCCCCCTCCACAAGCAAGTCAACAACAGAAACAGTTTCTGCTGTCAAGCAGGATGATCAGACCGAAATTATATGTGACGGCGACGTCTGCTACAAGAAACCAAAAGAGCAAAAAGAAGACATTGTTTCGGCTGATGAAAAACCCCAATGCTCAACTAATCAGGGAGAGAATCGAAATGAAGTTGACGCAAAAGCACAATTGGAAGAAGCCAGAAAAAAGATGGAAGAACAGAGGAGGAAGCGCATTGAAGAAGAGAAACAGCTAGAGAAAGAGCGGGAGTTGAGGCGTCGACGTGAGGGAAAGGAAATGCAAAGCTTACAAGAATGGCAACGCGGACAAGAATTGAAAGAACTAAAGGTTTGAATAAAATTTTATTTATATTGTGAAATACAATGTAAAATTTATATTATTTAAGGAAAATATTCGACGTGAAAAACTCGAAGAAATGGCTGCGCGAGAAAGAATACGAGCACAAATTGCTGCCGATCGTGCCGAACGTGCGCAAAAGTTTTCGTCGCCTCGTGATGAGTCAGCCGCTGCAACAAGTTCAGAGTTGGGAAATAAAAGTGGTGGTGGCTCGATTGTGAACCCAGTTACCCCAGACAGCACTAGAATACAGTTTCGTTTTGCTAGTGGTAATACCGCTGCACATGTATTTAATTGTCAAGACACACTTGGAAAATTACGCGAATATGTCCGCACAGACTTACTACCTGGAACCGGAATAAAAGATTTCACTTTAGCTACAACATACCCTAAGCGCGAACTTAATATTGAACATGATGAACAATCCCTGGCCGAACTTAGTCTTTTTCCTAGTGCTGTTATATTGATCATCGGGAAAGAGAGTACAAGTAGTCCAGCAGCTATCATAGCTCGCTCCGGTGGACTTCTGAATATATTTACTACGCTGGTAATGACTATACTTTCTCCCGTCTTTTCTGTTTTTGGTTATTTGAAAAATTTTGCTACCGGCGGAGGTCAAAAAAATAACAGTGAGTCTGGTGCAAACAAGCGAGCAAATGAGGAAGCTGGAGCACAACATGATGCGTAAGTGTAGCTATAATTTAACGCTTACATATAGTAACATTCATATTTTATATTTCAGTGCAAAACGTCGTAATATGGAACGTTTTGGAGGTGGTGTTGCTACCGGATCGATTTTGGGTAACAATGCCAGCAGCTCGGACGATACCGAAAAAGGCGAATCGAAACCGTATCGTCGCTATGGTAGTTCAAATATTCATCGCTTGACAGATCACAAGGATTCAGATGATGAAAATGCCACCTGGAATGGGAATTCCACGCAGCAGCAGTAGATAGTTTAACGAAACGTAGACTAGAATATAACTCATAATTTAAAAATACATATATTATACATAGTTTCCTTTCAAATAAAATTTAATGGAAAACAACACGATTTGCTAGTAACATATTTGGAAATGAAGCTGCATTAACACTAAATGATAAGAAAAATGTCGGGATAAAGCATCGATTTAGTTTTAGTTACATAATATCGACGGCCGTGTTTAATGAAGTTGTAAGCGTTTTAAATCGACTTAACGTAATTCGAAAATTTGGAAAATGTACAAATTTCAACAAAACATTTTTCAAATGATCTGGCAACGCTTTCGAAGGCACTTAATCCATTATTTAGCTCTTAAATAACTTCCTGCTGTCACGCCAAGTGCAACTCTGTATGCGCTGATTAGAAAAAAACTGGAATTTTTGACATTTCCATCAAACAAGTTTGAGCACATCTACAACATGTGTTTGAGTTTTCCAAGGTATCGCAACGTGTTTGCTCGTTGCTCAATTCTCTACGCTTGTGGATAATCAAAAAGGGTGGCTGCAATCGTAAAAAAAACGGCAAGTGATTCGGTTGATAGCGCGGCGTGTAGCAAATTTCCACATAAATTTGTGTACTTATTTTTCTGCAAAAGGCAAACAAAAGCAGTTCACTTGTAAAATCAATTAGTTTTTACAAATACGCAGAAAACGTATTGCAGCAAATTTTTAATTTTTACGAAGTGGAAACCTAAAGAGTCGCATATACAGTGCATACAGATTACAACAAAAAAATTAATAAATTCCCAAGCAAATGAAAAAGGTGGTGTAAATGTAAAGTGAAAGAATATAACAAAAAGCAACAAAGTAAAAGCAGTGAAGATTTTGTATGTGGCTGGTTTCTCCAATGTTTTCTGCCCCCTTACCTTTTATTGGTGTTTGTAAAATAGTTGTCGATACTAATGTGGTATAAATTATTAATAATAATATGCTAACAAATTAACTTACGAGTCAATCGTGCAGAAATAAATATAGATAAAGCCTGTGAAAAAGTGAAGTGAACAGACGAAACGGTAAAATTGTTTATTCGCCTAAGAAGCCTCAAACGCTTACAAAACAGTAAGCCGAAAAACATATATAGCGGTAGAACAAAACAGTGAATATGCGCTAGTGGAACGTGTCTATTACTGCTGTTGCTATCACGAATAATTTTTGCTTACCTGCACGCCGTCAAACAACTGCCCCTAACTTTTTTTAAATAGACGTGTTTATTTAGTTGCCGTACCTTGAAACTTGGAACGCTTGTCACACATCTTAAACACCATAATATTCTCAACTCCAAACATACTATTATATATTGGATATACGCTAAATGAGCTTGAATAACTGCAAAAAAGTGAAAAAATAGCTGTAAATATTTAAAATACAAGCATTGTTCAAAATTTCTTTAAGGCGGCTTAAATTTTATCTTTTTAATTATAAATTCATGCACGAAAATTTTAAAATCTAATGCAAATTGCAAGTTTAGTTTTTTAAAGGTAAGCATTTTAAGTTTTTAATTTTTTTTATTGTTGCAGTTTGTGGTCGTGTATGCGCTATTATTTAGTTCGTATTTAGATTTAATTTATATATTTTCTTTGAACATAAATATAGAAGTACGTTTAGTAATTTAAGACTGCTTGCTAAAAGTGCAGTGGGAAATGGCAACACTGAAAGTAAACAAAACAAAATTCTGTGCTGTGCCATTTGCCTTTCGTTTTTTATTAATTTTGTAAGCGTGGTTGTAAGGGCGTTACAAAGTCGGTACTACATAGTAAGAATGTCATTTAGAATTTGTGATATGAGTTTTACTTTGCGCACACATGACTATGTTGATGGTCACAAATATTGTTATAATCTTTTCATTGTTTAGTACCGAACATTAATTTATTGTTGTTGTTTTTTTTATTGACAGCTTTTAATCGGCGTTTAATAAAATTTGGAAACGTTATCGCTCTACGTTCAATAAATTTGTAGGAATAATCTCATGATCTTAAATAATATCTTATAAAAATAGACAGTGTAATTTAAAGTGTATATTCGTGTAAATGTCAGTTTAAAAGTGTTGTAAAAATATTTAAAAATATCAATTTAAAAAAAGAAGTAATTGCAAGTATTGCAATTGTTTAAATAAGTAATACGAAAAGAAAGCAAAAATTTCATTCAAATAAATAATAATTGTAAGTTAATAAATTAAGAATCAAATTAAAATATTTGAGCAACCAGTTCTCGATTCGTGCGTGTTTACTTTTACTGTTGTTTTGTGAAATTTTAATTCTTTTGTATGGCAAATTGTTGAATGGCGGCCACTGTTGGCCCCAAAAGGCACACCGTGAACGGAATAAGAGCCAATCTCAATCCTAATCCCAATCATAGTCATAATCACAACAACAGCGGTCATATAAATAGTCATCAAAGCAGTACAAACGCCAACGTCAATAACTGCTTCAGCAATACCTCCAATTCTCAACAATTTGGTAATAGAGCAGCAGTGCCCGTTGTTGCTGTTGCTCCTACGTCGCGTTCTCGTCCGCGTATTTCAATGAGCGTATCAATGTCACTCGTACAGGGAGGAGCTGCTGGCGGTGCCCCACAAGGTGCCATTTTAGCTGCTGCAGCACCATATTATCAACCGCCAGCTGTGCCACAGGATGTACAGCCGGATCGTCCCATTGGCTATGGCGCCTTCGGAGTAGTATGGTAAGTGTGAAACCAAATCGATTGCTTACTACTTTTATTTATTTAAAATAAAATGAAACAATGAATGCTAGCTAAAAAGCTATCCGTGACAGCTGCTGCAAATAATATTCTGTTTTGAGGTGCATTCGTTATTTGTATGTTTTGTATTTATTCCAAATATGGCATTACAACAATACACTCGCGTTATCACCACCAAAAAGGCAGAAGAAATGGAAGCTACCACTAATTTTATCAGACGCAGTAGTGCTAATGTTGAAATAATTACAACAATAGTAGCAACAAAACTGGCAACAATAGTAAAGGGCTAATCAAAGTTCGGTGTGTTGTGTACATAATAACGCTTTCCCAAAGTAAAAGAATTAAGGCCGACGAGCTTATTGATCAAGATGTATCATAATGCAAATATAGCAATGCGCTTTTTACCTTCATATTCACTAAATTCACACATACATATTCATGGCCGTTTATACACAATCCTTTGGGGAAAATTCACAGTGCAGTGTGACCTAAGCGTTCAACGTCAACTGCTGAGCAGCTCATTTTGATTTGTACGAATCTCTAAAATTACATTTTATCTATGTGCACACGTAAACACGTACATATGTATGTATGCATGAATGTATATACACAAATAGTATGTGTGCACCACTACCGGCACGGCATACATTGCAGTGGTTTGTGAAGTAAAGGTTCATTGGCTTTTGCAGACGTGGCATACTCGCTTACAAATGGGGTAAAAATCGTCCCGACAATGTTCACTGCAACTCAAGTATTACAAAGTGTAGTGCTCATAGTGGTATGTCTGTCTGTCTACATATTTCTATACACATGTTTGTATATAGTAAAATGTAGGAATGCTTTGTAAGTAGAACTGTGCTGCTACCCCTCATTTCAGCTGCCGCCTGTGTTGTTGTTGCTCTTGTAACTGCTGCTTTGACGTTTACAACACACACAGTACACGCCGCAGCCGCCCTTCTCCCATTACCTTCCTGAACCGAGGGTTGCTTACATTAAATATTCTTGCTAAATACCAAATAACTACTCGGCTGTTCCTCACATCGGAAATTGTTTGTAAAAATTTTATTTTTATGAATTTTAATCAACTGCAATACGGATTTGATTCGCCTAAAGTTGTTGCTGCTGCTGCTGTCATTACAAGCTGGCGAATATTTTCCCATTTAATGTTGGTGTAATTATGCTTTGCTTGTGCGCTTTGTTGTTCAAAGAGAATACAAATTATGATGTGGTAGTTTCGCTATCGCTGTTCTGCGGGCTAATGAAGGAACAGTTTTAAAAATATGTACATACATAAATGTATGTAAAAATGTTACTGTATTTAAATATTATCGTTTATATTTTTTTCTCTAAATACGATTAAGCAACATTTTTAAAGTGGCGTGACAAACGAGTCCAAATTATCGTTTTATGTAGGGAGTAGTATTCGAGCATTGCAGTCTAACTCTGTAATACCACTGTTTCCACGACAGTCGTTTCTATGAAAGCGGAACTGATCCGGATATTCATCTGATCGAACATTTGGCAACTCGACATTATCCCTTCAAATTATTTCAAATTTTCTGTTGCCCCAAAAACAAAAACAACTAACTGTAATTTTATTCTGATACAATTTAAATGTTAATAGAACGAAAATTAGTATTTTGGCAGGAAAAGCATGCTGAGATAATGAGGTTACCAAGCTGTGTGTTAGGTAGTCGACAATATGGCTCGGACACTATTATAAATAAATGTTATGAATGTGTAATTGCAGGGAATATTCCTTGTTCTATTATAAATAAGGGGTTTGCAATAGCTCTCACGCACCAACTATGGCTTTTATTCTCTTTTTTATGAAATGCAACATCCAAGAAACGTGATCTTTAATGAAGATGTGTCAGTGGGTAATGGTTTAGTAATGTTGCTTTGAGGGTGGTTTTGAAAAATTTGAAATATACATATAAATATATTGAAATTTGAAAAATATTGTTATTTCTTTTCAAATCCACTGAATATGTTTCTTTTATCGAGTTCGTTAAACAATGAAGCCGAAATTGTATGTGTATTTAGAGGAGAAATTAAGTTTTTTATTAATCATAAATGGTTATATGATCCTCGAAACAGATAGTAATAGTTTGTATCTGATTAGAAGTTGATATTGGAAATTACTTGTTGTTGTTATAAGAGTGGCGTCATGAAGAATCCTGTTTATGTTCCAGAACTTGTCCTGTTAAATATCCATGTTCGCTCAGATTTTGGATAACCGAACTATGAAAGTCGCGTTAGAAACATCACTGAAATCATTTGGAGAATGGTGCCGAGTTAACTATCTTTGGTCCGATAAAAATCCGGGAACGTTCCGGTTATGGTAACCAGTCTGTCGTGATTTCCAATCAAGAGTAACTGTTTTCAAAAATAATGCCCTTTAATGCTTGATAATGTTGTTTTACTGGCAGAAAACATTCCCACTGGAATGGGTCCGGATTTTTATCCGGACAAAGACTGTCAATGCGGAAGAATTCTTCCACAACAACAACAAGACCATTCCCTTTTTTTTTTGAAATGCAGCCGAGTTGGCAACTCTTTGACGTATGAAAATTCCTCCGTTTCGGATCTTTAGTACTGTATGGGCAAGGTCTCTTTAATCCCTATGTGTAGTTGTTTAACGGTTGTCGAAAATATCATGTTGCTATTTGAAATTCTGTTAACTCAACTTTTTTAGAGAGAGAAAATATGCATCAATGTGGGATTTTTCTGTAACCTTTTTACTGGTACTGGTGACTGGTGGTACCCATCAATTTTATATCTTTCGTTAACTTGGAATAATTATTTCCCATAATTATATTCAAAATAAAACATTAATCAAATAAAAAAACAAAAAACAAAAACAAAAATATTAATTCCCTTATCTTTTACAGGGTTTGAATGAAATGTAATTACAATTTAATCTTGTAACTAATCGTCTAAGACCACATTTGCCATGTTATTTTTATGTTTTGTGTAAAATAAAATAAGTCCCCACAAAAACACTTCAGCTTCAAGCTGTCTACAGCGAATTAAATTCACAACTACATACACACGCACATACAGGCGCACTTAAAAATACAAGTCATGCATAATTTTTCGTGTCTTTGTTGACTTGATCTTAACTTCCACACTTTTTTATGGTTAATTATGAGTCCACTTGTAAGTGCTCGATGCAAACGATAGCATTTAAGTTATACAATAAATCCTTAAAGCATTTAAAAAACATTAATGCGCAGCTACCATAAAATTACAACGAAGCAACCCCAAGCCGAACTCAAACCCAACCTAACTTAACCTAAAAAAAAATACCAGAAGTACAAGTTGAAGTTGAAGTGAAAATCAAGAAACTCAAGTGTCAGCTCCGCAGCGTTTAGCGCAGAATATGCAGATAGGAAAAAATAATAATTAAATATTTAAATAAAAAAAATTATAAAATTTTCTACCAAGTAATGTGTTTGTATGTATGCGTGCTGTTGCTGCGCGCTGCGATTCCTTTTTAAAGCCCAAATTCAAAAATATACATACTCATTGCCATTCAAGTGTAAAACGGCATTTCCGGATGCAATCAGACGAAAACTGCTCGGGGTACTCAAATACCGTTCGCTAGCTGACTGCCTGATAGGCTGGTTGTGCGACTAGGAGGATGACGCACACTTACATACATTTGCTCAGGCCCGTAAAACGCGTTTAAAAACGCTACAGCGGCGGTAGAAGTAGCGAAAGGGCAAAGACCAAAAAAATCATAAAAAACAGAAAAATTAGTAAAAATAAAAAAATCGACTTAAAGCCGCGCAGTAGCGCCGTTTGGAGGAACTCCAAAGCCAAAGGAACGTTTGCAGCACGATTCAATTTAAGTTCTGCAGCTTCTTGAATACTGCAGTGGTTGGCTGAGTATGCGATGTCGCAGAGCGCGCCACAAGTAAAACCCTAAAGGCTGTCTTCGAAACAGAAACAGAAACAACAACACTCGCACATACACATTCAACACATTTGTTGCCCAAATCGACAAATGCGGTTCCCTAACCGCTGCGACGGCGTCGTCGAATATAGACATTTGAACGCACAAAGCGTGCTTGTTAAAGTAAGCAATAAAGCAGCAGAGGCAAGAGCGGCAACCAACTCGCTTCGGCCGTTCAATAAATGCAGCGAGCACAGCAGGAGAAGTCACCATGTCCCGCAGCAAAGGCAATGCTGATCGCAAAAGGTATTTTGAAATAAAAAGAAGGCAACAAAAAATATGCCCAACGAAAAATCGAAACCAACAGCAACAGGGAAAACACTCAAACAACTGCTCGCGAATGCGCTCACAGCCTTTTCGAGGCGATAAACTGGTACCTTTTTTGTTTATATAGTGCTGCGAACGGGGGGAAAAGGCAACTAAGGAAATTATTAATAAATCCTGTGCGCGCAAGCGTTCACACGTTGCCACCGGAGAATTGGTTTGTAGACTGTCGGACGTTGACGGAGGCTGACTGGCCGAAAAGCAGTTTTCAACCCAGACACCTTCAGTCTGGGCTGCCACGAAAAACGTCGAACAGTAACGTGATTTCGAAGAAAGACGTAGAGTCCCAGTTTATACGAATTTCATTTGCTTTGTGTAGGTTAAACTTATTTATGAGAATTCTTCGATTATCCCACTGTTCTTGAAGATCCTCTGTTGTCTGGATTTCATAGCAGGTTAAACTTATTTATGAGTATTCTTCGATTATGCGTCCGTTCTTTAAGATAATCTGTTGCGTCGAAATTCCGAAGTTTTGAAGAAACATGATCCAAGTACCTAAGTTTGGATAAGAGAGCACATATATGAACTCCCGATCGAACGAGCGACTACCAATGCAACTGTTATATAGAAGTCTATTTAGAGCATTTGTTTTTGTAAGTAAGCGGAAAGTAATCTTAAGAACTGCATGCTTCTGTCGAGCCTTTCAGGTTGAAAGCTACTTTCTAACAGGTTAAAGTCGCATTAATACCGTACCGAA